TCAAATGGCTCCTTCCTTTATAGTACGCTAGGTATTGTTTGTCCAGTACGGAATTGTGCACAAGTGGCTGAATCCAAAAAGACTATTTGTCAGACACATTAAGCACTGTTTGATGCAGGAGCCAATATTTTAGTAGTGAGCCATTTGAGATTCAGCCCCAGTGTAGGAAAAAGGTGCTAATCGAAAAATGGAAATCACAAAGAAATTAGCGATGGTAATTTGGGCCCAAGAACTACTTATAAAAAGTTTTTTTGCATCAGCAGTGCTATAATATGATATATATTTTTAATTATTATGTAACAGAAACTTAGAAAGTTATTAAAATGACTGCAACATAGAAAGAAGGGTGAATGAATATTCTTGTCCTCTTTCAGCAGTCCATAATTGCTTGGCAACAACATACTCTAAATGAACCACATTTCTCAGTTGAATTATTGTTTATCTCAATTATTATAAACCAAAACTTTAATTATTTATTGACAAAATTGTCTATTTTATCATGTGTTATGCAGTCTGCCATTTTATAAAAGCAATAAGCCACTAGAAGCTGTGTATTACAATGATTTTATCATTACTTGTTGTGCCTAATAACACACTTACCTGTTGTAAATCACTATAATGCATGGCCTCTTGTGACATTTTTGTGGCTTTGTTTTTATTGCTACTGTGCTTTTGACTAAGGAGAAAGGTCTTTTTCTCAAATTAAAATAATAAAGAAGAAACTGGGGAGCAAAATGTGCCAGTAAAGAAATCACCAAAGGTGTAAACATGAAATGGTGTAATTCTTGTTCATTTTGGCCTCATAGTGCTTTGGTGATCAGGTCCGTGGAAATTAAGTGTGTGTGATTAGGAGAGTGTTATGCTCCTAGGGATGGGGCACCATAGCTCCAGTGCCCAGGGGCCTCAGAGGAGCTTAATCTGGGCCTGCATCTAAGGTCATAATCAAGCATCTATACTAATGCCACTTTATAAGCTCCACCTATCTTATAGGCCCACTTTACAGATGTAGAATTACAGATTGTTACGCCACAAATGACGAACCTTCCTCTACCTCATTCATCACTGGTCAGTTTCTGACCACAGGACTGCTGTTGTCCAAATTTTACTAAGGTGGTGGACCATTCGCAGCACAGCTGTGGTGCTAAAGCTCAAATGGGGCCTGAAATTTTGATATAAACCCAAAGATAGCGTGAGAATTGTCTGTCTAATTCTGACAAATAGTCTTTTTGGATTCAGCCACTTGTGCACAATTCCGTACTGGACAAACAATACCTAGCACACTATAAAGGAAGGAGCCATTTGAGATTCAGCCTGGATTTATATAGCAGCCTATGCACATGTTGAATATTTTACAATGTTTTTGAACGTGGCTCAACCAATCTGGAATATTCATTTCATAAAAAAGGTGTTTGTCAGCACACCTTGAAACATATTTCTCAGTGTTTTACATATGTAGACATCACTAGCCACAAAACATAAGGCGTAAATAATGTCGACACTTATTTATGTTTACGGCCGGGTCATTAGACAGACTGACCAGTTTGGTCTGGTCTAGATTTGAAATGAACTGAATGTAAATATACAACAAATTTGAAGTTTTGAGTGCCCCTTGCAGTAACCCAAGACCCCATATAATAGATCCAGCCATGTTTAGATGCTCTGTTGACCTGAGAAATCTTTACACCAGACTAGAAAGAGCCTGTTTTTGTCTTTCAGCACTCCATATAACCAGCAAAGCTACAAATTATATTACTACATTCTGTCCCTGTGGATATTGCAAAAGATCTGTATTCCCATAAACTGTGAACTATTTTAGTGTGTTCCATGCTAGTTATCAAATAATTCATAGCAGTTAGTGAATAATTCGTCTTAATATTAATAAGTGAATATTTAACCTAGCATTCAAGGTGTTAGAAATTGGCTAATCCTGGTCCTACCAGGAAAGAGGAGGGGTTTCAGCGTCTCAGTTCTGAGAAAGTTAAAGAACAGGACAAAACATGCAGCTAACATGAAAATGTTCAGAACAGAATGGTCAACAAACATTAGGCCGAATGCTTTTTTTAATCAGGAACTCTTGAAAAAAAAACAGAAAAAAGTTAAAAGCTAGAAAAGGTCAGTTTCATTATGTAGCCTAAAACTGGGTCGTTATTACCGCTTGACAGTTTATCCTTGTGTTTTTCCGTGATGGAGCAACACAATGTTAGTACAATCGGGAAGTGCCAGAGTATCCTAGAGATCCCTCGATTTATAACCAGCTGGATGGGAACTGGCTGAACACAAAGCTCCTGAGAGCACAATAAACCAGGCGTTATCTCAGCAGGCCTTGCCGTATTTGAGCAGAGAGAGACTCAACCATGCTGTGTGTTTGAACAGCAAGGACAGGTAGTTTAGGCCATTACTGTGGGGCCATAAATTATGAGTCAGTCATGCTAGTTGTGGTGTATTCTAGTGTATTCCCTGGGCTGGTCAGTAGGAATGAAAGCAGCGGTGCATCATTAGGCATTGATGTTACAAGCAGAGAGAGTTATGCTGCATTTACATGTTGCCGTTAATGTAAACATTGCATATCTCATAACTGCATGGGCAAGACTGACCGACAGCAAAAACATGTGATTATAGCATTACTAGTATGACTGTGGTGCTCTTACTCATGTTATCCTCTATGTCATCCTAATCAACAAAATATGTCATTTGAATGGGGGTGTTAAAGCTTACAACTGTCCCAGAATTAGGACCAGTTTACAGTGAAAAAGGAGAATGTTGGCAAAATACAGCCATTTATTGGGTATTGGAAAACTATAGGACATCATTTGTACATGTGTGATCATATGCAAAAGTTTGAACACCCTCAGTCAAATTATGTTTTGTAAAAATAAGTTAACACATCTTCTAGAGAGAACAAACTTAAATATGACATTTCTGCCCATTTTAATGTACAATTTTGGTTCATTTGCAGGGTTTAACACACTGGACAAAACAAAAAAACACACACACACGTTATCTAAGACGCTTATCCTTCTGGGTTGCAGGGGTTGCTGGAGCCTCCCCCAGTGATCATTGGGCGGCAGACAGGAAACGCCCTGGACAGGTTGCCAGTCCATCACAGGGCAAAAATAAAACATAAAATATAATATTTTAATATTGGCCACATTTTATGTTTTATTTTTCCCAACATGTTAAATACAACAAAAAAATAAACAGTTATTAATTAAAATGTGCAGGAGTGTGTTCCCTGTGGAGGATATATTAACTTAATTTCACTTTGAAAATCAACACATGAACTTTTGCCCAAACTTTTGCCCGTGACTATATATTATGTACCCTCAAGATAAGATTGACCTACTTAGAAAGAAAACATGGATTTATTTCTTTAAATCAAGTAAAGAAAATCTGAGTTCTTATGGCAAAATCATAATAAGACGTTTATTTTTCTACATCATTTGACCACAGCAGCTGTCCTTTACATTGTGTGAAAATTTCATGAGGAATAGACCAACATAAGAACTCAGATTTTCATAAGAACTCAGATTTTCTTTGTTATTTTATTCACTGTGCAATACTCACTACAATACATACATTTCTACATTTCTAAATTTAAATTTAATACTTTGTATATTTTTCTTATAATCTTTGTACATATACATATATATCTTTATACTTTTATTGTTTATTCTATTTAAATATTGTTTGTATATTTCCTGCTGCTCTGTCTTCTGTGCTGCTGTAACACCGCAAATTTCCCCGTTGTGGGATTAATAAAGGATTATCTTATCTTATCTTATCTTATAACAGAAATAGAAACTACAGGAAATAATATATCTTTACATTAACTTCTATTAAACATTCGTTTTTCTAAGACAGCGGCAGTGCATTGAAATTTAGGATGATTTAATCTGCCTACATGTATCTATCTATCTATCTAAGTAGTGAGTCATAGTCATGGGACAGTAAAGCAATATAACAGGAGACGGAGAGTGTTATCGCCTATGAAATCAAAACTGTGATTTGGCCGCAGTAAATCAGAGCAGCTGGGATCTTATTTGACAGTACATGGTCCTGAGCATTTTTATGGCCTACACCAAGTTACGAAAAAGCAAAAAGTAAAGGAAAAGACTAAACTTTGTCTTTAATATTTATTTGTAAAAGTTTAGACATTTCTTCAACCACAAAAGTAGTGAAGTGACCAGTGGTATCACTGATAAATACTAATAATGATACAGTTATGGTGAAGTAATGATACATACATACATACATACATCATCTAAACCGCTTATCCTTCTGGGTCGCGGTGGGGTGCTGGAGCCTATCCCAGCTGTCATTGGGCGGAAGGCAGGAAGTAATGATACAGCTATGGTGAAAAAGAAATCACGCTTAGTTGGATGAAAAGGACACTTAGTGAAAAAGTGCCTTAGATTTTTCAAGGACTGGAAACAATAGGTGTTCATGAATTTAACAACTGAAAACACAGTCTGGGATTTCTGTATAGTAAACTTATAGTAAATAGTAATAGTAAACAGACGATATTAAAGATATAATATGCATAATATATCATAATATGTGGTGAATCCTGAGGCTTCTTGAATATGATTTATTGTGCACAAATAAAACTGAAAAAGTGAACTATATCAATGCTGTTATTAAAACCAGTATAACCACTCATATACCAATACAATGTCCTTAATTCTCCTAAAGGATGAAGTGTTTTTTTTTTTTTTTAATTTAAATGTGACGATTAAAACGCCTTCAATTATGAAAGTACTTAAAGTCTCAGAAGTTGGCAAGTGAACATCTGTAGTTCAGTTCAATCCAGTTCAACTGACTTTTATTTATATGGTGCTATTATGACTCATTGTCCCAAAGCAGCCTTTCTACAAACTTGAATATGTGCACAGATGAGATCTGGATGAGATAGGAGGAGTCTCTGAGGGAGGCGGAGCCAAAAGACAGTAGGCAGGCAGTGTTGTCATGGCAATGCCCCTCCCTCCTCCAGACCGGTTAGTCAGGAGGCAGCCAGTGCTCCGGCAGTATGTGTGTGTTTGTGACTGTGTGAGAAGGAGCTGAGCTCCGGAGCTCCGGTGTGTGTTTTACTCCGACAACATCACGGCTGATTATCCTCTCCGCAGGTTTAAATGCAGCGCTTCACCTCCTGAGAGGAGGCTAAAGTGGGAGCAGGTAAGAATCTGAAGCTTATAATACTTTACTGTTTGATACCAATACTCTATACTGTCTTCTAATAAAGCTCTACAATACCTTCAAATAAAACTCTATTGCTTTATAATAAAACTCTATACTGCCCACAAATAATACTGTACTGCTTTATAATAAAACTCTATACTGTCCATAAATAATACTGTACTGCTTTATAATAAAACTCTATACTGCCCACAAATAATACTGTACTGCTTTATAATAAAACTCTATACTGCCCACAAATAATACTGTACTGCTTTATAATAAAACTCTATACTGCCCACAAATAATACTGTACTGCTTTATAATAAAACTCTATACTGTCCATAAATAATACTGTACTGCTTTATAATAAAACTCTATACTGCCCACAAATAATACCGTACTGCTTTATAATAAAACTCTATACTGCCCACAAATAATACCGTACTGCTTTATAATAAAACTCTATACTGTCCACAAATAATACTGTACTGCTTTATAATAAAACTCTATACTGTCCACAAATAATACTGTACTGCTTTATAATAAAACTCTATATTGTCTTCTAATAGAACTCTACAATACCTTCAAATAAAACTCTATTGCTTTATAATAAAACTCTATACTGCCCACAAATAATATTCTACTGCTTTATAATAAAACTCTATACTGTCCATAAATAATACTGTACTGCTTTATAATAAAACTCTATACTGCCCACAAATAATACTGTACTGCTTTATAATAATACTCTATATTGTCTTCTAATAGAACTCTACAATACCTTCAAATAAAACTCTATTGCTTTATAATAAAACTCTATACTGCCCACAAATAAAACTCTATTGCTTTATAATAAAACTCTATATTGCCCACAAATAATATTCTACTGCTTTATAATAAAACTCTATACTGTCCATAAATAATACTGTACTGCTTTATAATAATACTCTATACTGTCTTCTAATAATACTCTATAATACCTTCAAATAAATCTCTATTGCTCTATAATAAAACTATAAAACTGCCCTCAAATAATATTCTATATGGCCTTTTAATAAACTCTAATTCTGTATAATAATACTCTGTTCTGCATACAAATAATACCCTAGTGCTTTCTAAAATGCTGTCTTCTAATAATATTATACTTCTTTGTAATATTACTCTATACTGCACACAAATCATACTCTACTACTTTATAACAATATTCTATACTGTTGAACAAATAGTACTCTAGTGCTTTTTAATTATATCATATATCATGTTATTGTAATAATGCTCTACAGTATGCTGCTTTATAATGATACTCTATACTACTTTGTAATAACACTCAACTCTCAGATAATACTCAGTACTTTACTGTCTTATAATAATACTCCATAACCCCTCATTATAATACTTTGTAGATGTCATTACACTGTCATTTCATGTTACTCCTGTGTGCAGAATATTAGGTTGTACTGTGCTCATTTATCTTTCCCGGGTATGTTTAGATAGACACTGACTACAGTAATGCTGGCTGAACAACATTTTTTTGAATGGCACGTCCAACGTCAGCATCAGGGCTTGTGCTGCTGTATTCATGCAGATGAAAACGGAGTGTTTACTCTTCATGGGAGTTTATTATTGCTCAGCAGGTGTCTTTCATGGCACGCTGGGCACCAATCAGGGCCTGATTTTGGTGCATTGTTGTCGTGATATAATTGAATAGTGATGTCTGATGCTGAACAAACAGGCAATTTGGTGTTAGCTTTAACTTGGAATGTTGGTGTTGCAGTGAAATGCAAGAAACCAGACACTGTGATGTGAATTTAGGTTCAGTATTATGCAACTGTATGACTTCGTGCATTGTGGTTAGTTTGGTTTGTTTGTCTTCTCAGTGGCTTGGCAACTGGTTACTGATTGCTTTGTTATTATTTTAGAGACTTTAGAACAAGTTTTCTTCGCCAGACTTACACTGCATTACAGAATAGAACACTGTTGATGGTTGAAGGTTAAAAGAAAACATTTAGGATTTTGGTTCAATACAGTGTATAATTTGTCAAAGAGTCAAGTTATCTGGGTGAAACTGACTTTTTTTACCTACTGTTAGTCAGTGGGTTAGTTATATGGCTGTACCTTATAGAAAAATATACAGCCATATGAAAAAGTGTGGTCCAATGACATGTTTTGTTGATTTTGTTTGTGAAAATAAGTTAACACACCTTCTACAGAGAACACACTTCTGCACATTTCAGTGCAAAATCACTGTTTATTTGTTGAATTTAACATATTGGATAAAAGAAAAACATGAAATGTGAGCTGTGCAAAAGTTAGGGTATATTTTATATGTTGTGTTTTATGTTTTCAGTAAATAGGAGAAAATCTATATTTTGCATTAAATTAACGGCATATTTAAGTGTGCTCTCTGCAGAGGATGTGTTGTGGGATGACTCATTTTCACTTATTAAAAAGGATAAAATGTATCATTTGACTTTGGGTGTCCAAACGTTTGCATACAGCTGCATATTGCTGCTGTTGGTATCTCCATTTTTGTCGTTTTTCGGTTTTTGACATAATTTGAAATTGCCTGTTGCTCTTTACATTGTATGTACATTTTATGATGAATGTACCAAAAAAAAGGCCCAAAATTACTTGGAAAAACGTCCTGGTTCCATTGACTTGCATTAAAAGTGAAGTAGGTTATTTCCTTCTCCTGTAAAGTTATCGTTTTTGACATACAAGGTTTTTTCCAGACAGCAGCGATATATAACTAACAAAACCAAGATGGGTTTTCTTAACCTGGCTGACCATAGAAGACACTGTTTAAAGTTAACTGAAAGGTCAAAGGTTTAAAAGGAAGCCTTCAGGTTATAGTGTAACTGTAATGTTCTTAAATGGGGGGATGTTGGGATAATGCATAGAAGCCCACCAAAGAGGGGCTTTGCTGTCTAATTATAATGGCGTGCTGGAAAGTGCTGATATAGTGAGGGATTATGTAATGAGCTTTTCCAGGCCTAATCCTGCGTGTGGCCAGGCCTGGGCTTGGCACAGTGAAAATGAGCTACTTACCTTCACTAACCTGCTTCAGCCTTACATTCCATTATATTCTGTAACAGAGGAAATGACACATTTCCATTTTAGTGTGTAGCAAAGCTTTTAATTTAGTTGTTTAACTGATTCCCTGTAGAGAAACTTACAGATTTCTTTACAGTGGTGGTGATAGGAACAAGGGGTCACAGTGTCTACAACACAAATACAGCCATTTTACTTACTGTCTGAAAACACAGTGAGCCTACATGAGTTTTTATGTGTAATGTTGATGATGATAGAACTGTGGTATATCGGGAAAAATAGTTTTCTCTGGGGACTATTTTGCCTTATAGCATGCGGCGTGTATCTCTTCGACGTGACAGAGATTTTTATAGGCTTTCTATTGTGATTTTGTAGACTTTCTGTACAGATTTTAATAGACTTTCTGTAAGTTTTTCTATAGATGTTTCTATAGATTTCCCACGAATGTTTCTACAGACCTTCTGTAACCGTTGTGTAGAGAGTTCTATAGATTTTCTGTAAATGTTATCTATAGACTTTCTCTAAATGTTTCTATACTTACTATACAGGTTTTTAAGTACTTCTTACACAGACTTCTATGGACCTTTAATAGAGTTTTCTATTGAGTTTCCGCAGACTTTCTACAGAGGTTTCTACATACTTTGCACGTAGTTTTATTGACTTTTTGTAAAGGTTTCTACCAACTTTCTATAGGTGTTTTTGATGGATACGCTGTAGTGGTTTCTCTCGACTTTCTGTAAATGGCTTTCTATAGAGATTTCTATAGACTTTCTACATATGTTCCTTTAGGCTTTGACCACGTAAAACACAGTTTGATATGATGAATGGCTGTGACGATACTGAGGACTGTATGTTTTAGGTCAAAACTTTGTCTCAGAACTCTCATTTCAGGCATCTGGCAGCATGTCTGAAAACATTTCATGTAATAACTTTCAGAGACATTACAGGCTTCAGACATTTGGTTCGTATCACCACCACTGCCAACAATTCGGAGTACATTTCTCTAAAACGGAGCGTTTCATATCTAACGTTTAACTTTTAATGACGTTGTTTGCATCTGAACCATTTAATTATGTAGAAATCTGGAAAAGTTGGTGGAAAGTGGATAGATTATTTGATTAAGTCTAATTGCACTGAAACAAATGCATTGAAACAAATGCATTGCAAAGGAAGCAAGTGCTTCCTTTTAGCAATCATTGTATTGATTATATGTATTTCATAGGTGTGGGTCAACTGATTTCAGTAAATTCAAAGCACTATATTTTCTGAGTCCAAAGTTCTTGAATTTTTTTTAACCTAAAAAAGGGATGAAAGATCCTTTTTGAGTTTGGACCATTCCAGCCAACAGGAGGTTTATGAAGCTTTACCTGAGATTATCTGGGCTCAAAACAGTGACCTAATTCACTTCATCATGGTTTTTTTTATAATCTGACAAAGTTTCATTATTGATTTGCTAGCGAGAGACATCTGTATTTGGGATTAATATTTTTTTTTTATCACCATCCTGTATTTTAAAGGTCAGTTAGACTTTGCATGGGATGCCCTCAGGAATCTGGCTTCATCTGGCATCATAATTACATGTTCTAAATGTTTCTTTCCATAGTGTTATACAGCATGCACAGTACTGTTTACCATACAATATACGATGAAGTACCAAATGCTATCTTTATCTCCACTCACTATCCACTTTATGAGCTCCATGTATCTTATAGCTCCACTACACAGGTGTATAGTTAGACTGTAGCTCATTTATTGCTGCCCAATTCATCTGCTCCTTGTACTCCATCCATCACTGGTCAGTTTCTGACCACAGGACTGCCATTGACCAGATATTATTTGGGTGGAGGATCTTTCTCAGCACTGCAGTGACTCTGACTTGGGAATGTGCTGGTATGAGTGTAACAGACACAGGCAAGAATGACATTTTACTCACATTTTATTCAGTT